TGTAGCCGACCTTTCTGCAGCTACCCATTCCCCTCCTTTCGGCCCCCTTTTGCAGCCTCACCGCTCCCTCCCCACCTGCCAAACTGCTAAGCCCAACCCGGTACTGTCACTCCCTGGGCCCTAGTCCCACAAGGACCTCCCCTTGCTCACTGCCAGCATTCACCATCTTTCTGGTCCACCAGACACAGGATCCTTCTCTCCCGCACAGGAGAGAAATGGCCTGTGATTGGAACAGTTGCTCCTCAGAGAGTCTGACTGTCCAACATATGGAAGAGATTCTTTCATTCCCACAATCTGGGAATTCAATGGGAGGCAGATTCTCCCACTGCCTCCATACATGTTGAGCCCCCAGACTGCCATGCTTGGATGATCAGTGCCTCCTGACGTAACTGGCTAACATTGGAACTTGGAATTGAACATGGATGACTAAAGGTTATGGGATAGTAACTCTGTGGTGTAAAGGTCACGCATGGACTGGCAGACATAAGGTCTCAAAATGACAGCAGACTGGGTTATAGACTTCAGATAGCATTGGCACAGTAGCAATATCACTCCAGCTGTAATCCAGAGACATGGGCTGATGGTCTGGGGCTCGGATTCATCTGCTACTCTTTAGAAAGGACATCTGCCATGACATACAACTCATTGTAGCTGGCTCTGAAATGGCGTTACAAGCTACTCGGGCAACTAGGAATGGGAAACAAACAGATGCCTTATCAGTGTTCCCCACATCACATGAAGGAAATAGTATAAACTCACTGGCCTTGCAGTAGTCCTTTGCTGTGGTCAGGTAGTGCAAAATTTGGCATTGCAGTCACCTGGCATTGACAGTACAGAGGAGGGGTGCAGACTGAAAAGCCCTTGGACGGGAAAGGTTTGGGAAGGGTTAAGGGTTGAAATAAATCCCACGCAGACCAATAGAAGGATTACTGTGTTTCTAAATGAAGCAGTGTTTGGAATCACAGCCCTCATCAGTCATGGCAGAATGCATGGAACACAAAGGGCACCTTTCACAGTGCTCGTGTCCAATTAGTTTTACCTCACCATCCAATGTCAGAGGGTGGACATCTACGTCTCTGTTAGAAGCTCCACCAGGTGTGTTTCTTAAAAGTTCCATGTTATGAGAAGAATGAGTCATTGCTGCGTTTATCAGAGCTTCACCCATGGAAGGAAAGGCACAGACAAATTCATAAGTACCATCTTGAACTTTCATTCCTTCCTTCTGACCCCTTATCCCAAGCCCCATCTTACACCCAGCAGCCTTCCTCCGTCTCTCCACCTCTCAGTCTCTTCAAGACCTTTTTCAAATGGCACCATTTGACCAACCTTTGGTCACTCCTCCTTGCATTTTCTTTGCACTGGTGTCAACTTTATTCTTAGTACCCCTGTGAGATGCTGTTTTCATTAAAGTAACTACATAAATGCACGATGTTGTTAATAGAGAGAGAAGAAACACGTGCTAGTAGGAACATATGCACATTGCGACGGGCACACTTGAACCACAGAGCCACCAACAAACAGCCACTGAATACAGATACCGTGGCAAAGTCACACAGATAGTCAAAGCACACAAATAGACTCAGGCACACACAAAGAAACAAAAATGCAGATGAAAGAGAACGGAGACATGAGTGTGCAAAGACTTTGTGCAAGTTGGTCAGACTCAAGTTTGTGGCAGATTTCAGTTCTAACATTTGGCTATGAGCAAGCAGGGAATCACCGGGAATAAAGGACACAGACAAGGATACGCAAGTTAAACAACTGGAATGTGCAAAGCGAACAAAGGAACAAGTAAGGAACAAAGCAGAAATTGCTGGAGAAACTCAGCAGGTCTGGCAGCACCAGTGCAGAAAAGCAGAGTTAACGTTGTGAGCCCAGTGACCCTTCTTTAGCATCTGCAGTTCTTTCCTTTATTTAAGGAGCAAAGCGGGATGTACAATGACAACACAGAGAAGGAATGCAATCCAGGAATGCACACCAGAAACACACTTCAGGATACGAAGCAGGAATACACAAAAGGAGTACACCATAATACATAATTCAACATACAACAGGAACACATAAGGAGCACATACCAGGGTCACACAAACAACAACAGGATACACATCGAGAAGAAACCAGGACATACCACAAACTAATAACCAGTTATGAATAAACTGAGGAACAAAATGGGTACACTACAAAAATGCATCAGAAACAAACAGTAATTCCACAACAACTTTTGGGCATCTCACAATGCTGCACACCTAATGACTTATTCTAGTTGTGCAGCCTGCATCAAAGTAAATACGGTAACCAACTTGTACAAAGCCAAACCCATAAACTTCGGGATAAACGAGCAGTTTATCTGAGGAAGGGTCACTCCATCCGAAACGTTAACTCTGATTTCTCTCCACTGATGCTGCCGCAGATGCCGAGCTTTTCCAGCAATTTCTGTTTTAGTTTCTGATTTTCAGCATCTGCAGTTCTTTCGGTTTTTATTTGCTTTTGGGGGTGTTGATACAGGGGCAAATATTGACGCAGGCAAAAGGAAGAGGTTTCTTGCTTTTTTTTTAAACAGTTGCATAGGAACATCAACATCCTTGAAAGGACTGACAGACCTTGGTTTAACACTACATCCTAAACACGACATCTCTGACAGTGCAGCACATTCTGGATACTGAAGCCGAGATTACAGGCTCATGTTTCTGAACGGGGACCTGTAATGACAAATTTCTCACTTGGAAGAGGCAAGCGCTACCAAGTTATACAACCTAGGTACGAAATAGACTAACAGCAGGAACTTAAACAGGAGCATGCCAAAAATAAACCAGGAAGAAAACTGGTAAACACTGAAAGCAATTTAGGAAAGTGAATCTATAGCAAACAAAAAACTAGCAATTTCCTGAGAGCAAACTGGGAGAACCACATAGGAAGAAAATAGGCCTAAACACAAAGCCTAAAGCAGAAACAAAGCTAATAATTACCAGGGCGAAACAGGAAAATGCTCAGAAGAAGCAAACATATTATTCCAGGGTTGAAGTCCCACCTGCTCCAGAGGTGTGAGAGAACACTGTTGAAAAGATCAATTAGGAAATATCTATAAATTCAGCAGCAAACAAACCGGTAAGTAGCAGGAACAGACGAAGAACAAACTAGATTTCCCTGTGAGGGCTGGACTGGTTGGAGGAGCGATGTGAGAATATGGGGCTTTAGAAATATCAGCTTGAATGACCAATAAGTCATGATCACGAATACAACATACACTTCATCTTACCAAATGTCAATGTAGAATCTATAGGTTATTAAACAGTATAGACATGACTCAGCCACACCATCCCAGCCATATGGCAATAGATGCATCTATATAAAGACGTATTTAGAGTTTAGGTCTATTAGCCATATAGTGGAAAATAGCAAACAATGGATATTCATTAATCCAGTGCTAAGTATAATATAGACAGTATTAAATGCGTATAGTTTTTTCATATGTCATATTCTTTATATACTATATTATAATATATTAGCAACACATGTTATATAGAATGGTGTAGATGATACAGTATAGTTCCATATTTGTATTTGTTCTATATAATGCAATAGACTCCAAACTGTTCCACAGATGAAATCAGAGCACATTAACTGTTCCTAATCACTTTAACAGGACTTGCCTGTCTCACACTCACACAGGACTGGTCCTGTTCACTGCATTGTGCTGATACATTCTAAAAGGCCTGCACTGCCCTCCCTCATTCTAATGGAACTGAATTGTCTCCCTTTACTCCACTGGGACCAGACTGACCATCACCAGCATTTTCACACAAACACCTTTCTTTAGGCAAACATCTCCTGAATTGAAAAAAAAGTATTTCTCAAATACATTCCAAATGTTGGTGCTCAGTGCTAACATTCATAATGTACCATTCTCAGTTATAAGCTGCTTTATGTGGTGGGAATTCCAGCTCCACAATTATTATACTAACTCGCCAGTAAATGAGCCCTGTTTTCTGAGCTGTGTTCCATATAAAATACAGCAGAGAACTCCAACTAAGTGGAATATCCTGCAGCAGGATATGCACAGCTGGTTTCCCTTCAAGCAGACATATAAAGCGAATCCACAATGGTCTGAGTCAGCTCACAGACACTGATTACAGCTGAAGTTTGTATTAGTATTATCAAGAGCCAGTTGACATTTTACTTTGTTGGGGTATGGTTTAATTGAGAACCACAGAGAAGGAAAATATGTGTCTTGGAGGTGGAGCACATCTGTGTGAGTAAGTGTTTTTGTGTTACATGATTTAGTGAGTGACCGACTCCCTGGGAGCTTGTGTTTGTGAGGATCCCTGAATCTGTGTGTACCTGTCTGTGCAAGCTTGTGTCAATGTATGTGTTTGTGAGGATTCCTGTATCTGTGTGTACCTGTCTGTGCAAGCTTGTCTCGGTGTATGTGTTTGCCAATATATTCGTGCGAACTCTATGTGTGTATGCGTGCGTGAGTGTGTGTGTGGTTTCTGTCTCCTTCCTCACGTGTATCTGTGTTTGTTTATGTCAGTTTCATTATGTGTATGCCAGTATTTTTGTGTCTGTATGTATTTGTGCATTGTTCATGAGTGTTTCTGTGTGCATGTCTGTGCGTTTCTGTGTTTTTTTTTTAATATTTCTGTGCGTATTGTGTTTCCGTGGTTTGTACGTTTCTGTGGTTTGTATATTTCAGCGTGCATGCCTGTGTATTTCTGTGATTTGGATATTTCTGTGTGCATGTCTGCATATTTCTGCGGTTTGTATATTTCTGTGTGCATGTCTGTTTTTGTGTCTGTACATTTTTATGTCTCTTGTATGTTTCTGTGTGTACAGTATTTTTGTATAGTGTCTGATTTGTGTGTGTATTTCAGTCCGTGTCTGTGTCCTGGTCTAACTGGAACAAACACAAGATGAAGTGAAGAAGTAGTAGGATGTTGGAGATGGAGACAGAGTGAAGAAGCTCTGTACAGAGGAGCGAGCTGCTTAGCCCAGCAACTTACCACATTGGTGAGGAAATCGGCTTCGTTCAAATCTTCCAAATCCACAAGGCTTGAAGCCGCGAAGAGTTTCTCTACTCCAAAGTTATCCAGGATATCCATAGTGGCTGACGGAGCTGGGGAGGGAAGGGGATGGTGGTGTAGGGGCTCCGGTGGGATCTTGCAAGATGCTGGAGCTCAGGGGAATAGCCTTTAGGAACCCGGGCTCTTTAAACCGTGCTCCGGGCTTTGCTAAAGGCTTCCCCTGCCTTTAGGAAAGCTCAGGCTGCTCCGGTCAGAGTGTGTGGGTGCAGCTCTCTCTGTGTCTGTGAGCTCTCTGATGTCTGTGTTTGATGTCAGTTTAACACAAACTGCTCGCCAGCTGCAGGTTCTAGGCTCGGTCTCTGTCTATTGGCAGTCTCTCTCTCTCCCTCTTTCTTCTTGTATGAACTCCGACCCAAACTTCATCTGACTGTCACTAGCCAGTTCACACACTCCTCACACATTTCCCTCCCCCCGCCAACCCCACTCCAAGACATAACGTCACTCCCCTCTCTGCACAATTAACCTTTTCAGTTCTCTCAGCCAGCAGCTGCAGAACATGCACTGTGTTAAACTTAGATCCCTCTCCCTCACAGTGCTGGGGGCAACTAGACAGGTGTACAGATGACTTCACAGTGCCAACTGAAGGGCAACAATAGACCAATTTGACACCTACAAAAATAAACCTCCTCCATTCCCCACCTCCGTCCTGCTGCCCTGTCCACTCGGTAAAGGCTAACTGGCCTCAACTGTTGCTACGGCAACACCATTTTAGCCACCTACACCCATGCTAAGGAAAGCCCCCTCCTGTAACAGATAGATTTTTGATTTGATTTCTTATTGTCATGTACCAAAAGTACTGTTTTGCCAGGCAAATCGTACCCTACAGCAGGGTAATAGAACAGAATGCCGAATATAGCGTTACAGCTGCGGAGAAGGTGCAGAGAAAGATCAACTCTAATATATGAGAGATCCATTCATAAGTCTGATACCAGCAGGGAAGAAACTGTTCTTAAATCTGCTGGTACTTATTTTCAAATTTTTGTATCTTCTGCCTGATGGAAGAGGCTGGAAGAGAGTGTAACTGGGGTAGGAGGGGTCTTTGATTATGTTGGCTGCTTTCCCAGGCCAGTGGGTAGTGTGGATGAAGTCAATGGAAGGAAGGCTGTTTCTCATGATGGACTGGGCTATGTTCACACTCTTCGTAAATTCTTACAGTCTTGGGCAGAGCAGTTGCCATATCGAGCCACGATCCATCTGGATAGAATGTTTTCTATGGTGCATCCATAAACATTGGTCAATCCTTGTGGATATGCTGAATTTCCTTAACCTTCGGAAGAAATAGAGGTTTTGGTGTGCTTTCTACACCGTAGTATTGATGTGGATGGACCAGGACAGATTGTTGGCGAGTCTTACTCCTACAAACTAGAAGCTCTTGACCACTTCCACCTCAGCACCATTGACACAGACATGGGCATGTCTTCCACCCCTCTTCCTGAAGTCAATGACCAGACTTCACGAGCACATGTTCTCTGTAGCCATGTCAAATTGACAACCAGTGAAGTGCCCATAATACTCTGCATTTTCCCACTGCACTTCACCAACAATAAAGGTCATAGTACACCTTCCGAAGGAGGTGGCCATTTTAGTGTGGTGAGTACCATCCCAAGCCATGAGAGGCCAACACTCCATTACCACGGTTCTGCCCTCGTTCTCTCCCAGAATTAGGTTAGGATATGGCCCTCGTCCTCACTTTTGACCCCACCATATTCAAGTCATCATCTTCTACCAGCTCCAGCATCATGTCACCACTGAATGTAACCTCCCTACCTGACCCACTTTTACCCAAATTCCATCAGGGACACCCTGGTTCACTCCTTAAACACCCCCCATCCACCACTCATGCAACTACAAGAAGTATAACACTTGCTCTTTACAGCCTTTAAGACTGAACATTGAATTCAGCAGCTTCAGAGCAGGAACTCTGTCCACCATTTTGTCTTTTTGTTTTGACAAATACCAGTAGCATTGTTTTATGCCTTTGCTTTAATTGAGCTGTGCTTTTTGTGCCATTAACACTGGACCAAGGCTTTTTTTTTAACTACAACCATTACTATTCCCTTACCCTTCTTTCCAGGACATCTTTGGCATTTAATCTCCCCTTCCGAACCCTTCCTTTAAATACCTCCTGTTTGTTTCTTCTTCAGTATGATACCCATTGCATTTCCTCCTCTCTTTCCAGTTCTGAAGAGTAGTCATCCTGAACGCAACTTCACCTCTCTTTATCAGATGCTGCCAGACCTGCTGAATTCCTCCCGTGCTCTCTGTTTTTATCTACCTCAAACACTTGATGGGCAAAGAACATGACATCCTAACAAGGCGGAGTGTTTTTAAAGGGTAGGAGCAGAAATGAGGTGAAAAGAGAGTTCATAGAATCTCTATGGTGTGGAAGTAGGCCATTTGGCCCATCAAGTTCACACTACCCCTCCGAAGAGCATCCCACCCAGACCCACCAACTACCCTATCCCTACATTTCACATGACTAATCCATTAACCTGCACATCTACGGACACTAGGGGCAATTTAGCACGGCCAATCCACCTAATGTGGACATCTTTGGATTGTGGGAGGAAACCGGAGCACCTGGAGGAAACCCACACAGATACTGTGCAAACTCCACAGAGACAGTCACCTGAGGCTGGAATCAAACCCGCTCTCTGGCACGGTGAGGCAGCAGTGCTAACCACTGAGATGCCGTGCCACTCTCTGCCATCATAATTCATAATGCCGTGCTGGAGTGATCATGTAGATGTGCATATTACAACAGCAACATGAACTCCTTGAGTGACTGGACATACCATCACACATGTGTCACAAGTGAGGTTACACACCCAGTGTCTTCTGTTCATTTATTTAATTTGCTAGTTAAACACACAATTAGCCATATCTGAATACCCAATTAGCCATATGTAGCTAGTGACTGTGGTGTTGGACAGCATTGTAGCTGCTAGGAGGTTGCACCTATTATAAAGGAGGCAAAGACAGCAAAGGGTTGAATGGGGAGCCTCCATGAGAAAGCTCACATGTGCCCCCTGGTGGACGACCTGCTGAAGACCATCTTTGCTCCCTCAGGTAATGCAGGTACATTGCTGGAGGAATGTCATGAAGACACAACAGGAATGAGGAGAAGAAAATGAACCATCTTCAAGGGAATTGCGGAGTTAAGCATTTTAATGGAATTCTGTCATTCTATCGCACAACAATTAGAGCTCTAAGCTGTCTGTGCAGCTGTGAGGTGTAAAAATAGATGTGTATATTTTGATGACTGAAATGGTCTTTAAGTCTAAAAGTGTCCTGTTTAAAAAAATGTATATATTTCTATTTTTTGCACAGAAAACAGAGCTGTTAAATATAGTAGTTCAGGCAATCCAGCAAACTTTGGCAGCTTTAATTATTCTGTGGGTTAGACTGAACTGTTGTTGGAAACAAAAGCAAAATACTGCAGATGCTGGAAATCCTAAATAGAAACAGAAAATGGTGGAAACATTCAACAGGACAGGCAACATCTGTGAAGAGAGAAACTGAGGTAATGGGTCAGAGGTTGCCAAGGAAGATAACAGCTTGAATAAATACCCATTATTTATGGTTAAAAAGGCATTTAGCACGCTTGCCTTCATTGTTCAGTCCTTTGAGTATCAGAGTTGGGACATTATGGTGAGGTTGTACAGAACATTGGTGAGGCCTCTTCTGGAATACTGTGTCCAATTCTGGTCACCCTGTTATAGGAAGGATATTATTATGCTGGAGAGGGTTCAGAAGAGATTTACCAGGATGTTGCTGGGTATGGAAGGTTTGAGTTGTAAAGAAAGGCTGGATAGGCTGGGACTTTTTTCACTGGAGTGTAGGGGGTTGAGAGGCGACCTTATTGAGATCTGTAACATCAAGAGGGGTATTGATAAGGTTAATGGTAGCTGACTTTTCCCAAGGGTGGATGATTTCAACACTAGTTAAGGAATTGGGAAGTAAGCAGAGGGTGGAGGAGCAAATTAGATTGAGTGAGTTTGAAACCAAATCGGCTGCAGAAAGAGAAATAAAGAGAGAGAGTTGAATATTGGTTTAAGAGAAATTAAAAAGTGAGTCAAAGGAACAAAAGGAAGAAAAGAACTTAATAATTAAATGTGTTCTGAGGAAGGGTCACTTAACCCGAAATGTTAATTCTGCTTTCACTCTCCACACATTTCTACAGTGAAAGGAGAAAGATTTAAAAAAAGACAAAAAGCCAAATTTTTTACACAGAGGGTGGTTCGCATGTGGAATGATCTTTCTGAGGAAGTGGTGGATGTGGGTACAATTACAATGTTTAAAAGATGTTTGGATAGGTACATGAATAGGAAAGGTTTGGAGGGATATGGGCCAGGAGCAGGCAGGTAGGACTAGTTCAGTTTGAGATTATGTGTGGCATGGACTGGTTGGACCGAAGGGTCTGTTACTATGCTGATTGAGTGTGTAATTCTATGAGCCAGCAACTCATTGGGAAGAGGTACTCGTGAATTATGGATTGAGACAATTCGCTAGATGATGTCTGCCACTCCATCACTAACTATGAAAATAGCACGCGCCCCCCACACCCCCACCCCCCAACACACACACACACCACCAACCTTCTCGTGATTGCTCAGTTGACTGGACCGTTGGTTTGAAGAGCAATGTGATGCCAACAGCATGGGGTCAATTCCCATCACCAGCTGACGTTATCATGAAGGACTCTCCTTCTCAACCTCTCCCCTCACCTGAGATGTGGTGGCCCTTAGGTTAAATCACTGCCATTTGTCTCTCTCTATTGAGGGATCAGCCATATGTTCTGGTAAGACTATGGCAACATGACATTGTGATATTAATCAAGTTACTATACTTGCATATTAATTGTCCAGTAGAAAGTTAAATCCATTAATTAATAATGTCAATGCTTTTTAGCAATGTGCTAGGTATTAAAGTTTGTCATTCAACATTAAATATAAGGAATTATATGTCTGATGAAGTCTGTCGGGTACTGAACGGCTCAATTATTAAATTCAAAAACAGAAATTGCTGGAAAAACTCAGCAGGTCTGGCAGCATCTCTGGAGAGAGAAAGCAGAGTTAACGCTTCAGGGCCCGTGACCCTTCCTCAGAACACATTTAATTATTAAATAATTTTTCTTCCTTTTGTTCCTTTGACTCAATTTTCTCTTTCCCTTAAACCAATTTCAATTCTCTCTCTTTATTCTCTTTCTGCAGCCAATTTGGTTTCAAACTCACTCAATCTAACAGGCTCCTCTGTCCTTTGCTTATTTCCCAATTCCTTAACCTCACACTGTTTACCCTGTTGTTCACTAGGCTTCCAGATACACTCATGTTCTTGCCATGTTTGTACGTAGTTCCAGCAACTTTGTGGGAAATCTGTTTAAACGTAAAAGTCCACAGGCGAAACAC